TACTGGAAGCCAACAAGTGGTGTTAATTTTCTGATTTGGGCAACTTTGGAATATACATATACAACACCTTCGGTTGGATGGACAGTATTCAGATCTAAATACACTAGAACTCTAGTATCTCCAGAAACAATTTTGTCAGTTAGAAAGCTATGGAATGAAATGTCTAATAAAAAATGATTTGACCCTTTTTCCCATGCTAAATTGACTTTATGGGGAAACCCAACTTTAAAAATTGAGAAAAAGATGATATGGAAAAATTGGAGGGAAGCAGGATATTGACTTTGGATCAACTGATAGATGAAGATGAATTTTTAACATATTCCGTGTTAAGAGATAAATATCATCTACCAGATGTAATCCAATGGCAATATTTACAGCTACAACTTTTTTTAACAACAGTTTGGAACAGCAGCATTTTCAGCTTCTGAGACACCTGAGATACTAAATCCTTTAAAACTAAAAATCCTACTATTAGTTTTATAGATATTTGTTGTCAATACATCAATTTGGTATACAGATGTTAAGAAATGAGTGGAATAAAGAATTAGAGGTTCCTATATTGCCTAGATAATAGGAGAGGGTCTTAATTCTATAGCAAGAATGTCAATGGACCTTAAACTACAGCTTATACAACGAAAAATAATGTTTAGAATTTACTGGATTCTACTACATTTGTATAGAAAAGCTTCACATTTTAATTACTAGATTTTAAAAATACAAAGTGTGTCAAATGGATCAGGGAGCCTGGAGGCACCAAGGGTGATTTCTGTGGTCATACTGGGGACCCCGTATCTATCATACAGAGTAAGCTGCATTATGGAGGGCAATTCTCAACCACAGAGATACATCATTAAGCATAACATATGGGTCTAGAGCATTCCTCCTAGATGGGCTATATTGCCTCTGGCCAAAACTCTTGAGGAACATATGGCGATAAGAAAAGGGATTGGAGCTAAAAGTGGGCAGTGAAAGAACTAATCATACATATTTCATCTTTCTTATACATATTCAACTACACTGAACACCCCCACCCCCAAAGGTATCCTCTCACTTCTTTTATCTAGCTTATATTTTCTCCTTCCCTCCCTGAACCGTTTCCCTTATTTTACCTCTATTTCATCCCCAGTGCATAGGCTGGGTGCAAGTGGAAGTTTCTTAACCACTCTCCAGCTTTTCAGATTTAATGCAGCATTAAGGATTTTCAGGTGAGTTAAGATACATGAAAAATGCCACAAAACTTTTTTTTTAAGGAATACAAATGCCCTGTGAAATCTGTGGGGGAAGGTGTCTGTGGATAGAATCTGCAGTATGTCTGAAGGGGAAGGAAGGGTTAATCTGGAGCTCTCACCCAAAATGCAGGTAGCTACTTTAGCATTCAGGGCCACATTATTATCATCCCTTATACAAATATTATCCCCCTCCCCCTCACACACACACAGAGTGTACAGATACAGATATGCAAGAAAGTACAGGTAGTACTTGCGTATCGACCACAATTGGGACCAGAATTTAGGTTGCTAAGCAATGTGGTTGTTAAGTGAATCATCATATGACAGGACCCGGTTTTACAACCTCTTTTGAGGTGGTCGTTAAGTGAATCACCACAGTAGTTAAGTGAATCACGTGGTTCCCCATTGGTTTTGCTTGCCCGAAGCCTGCTGGGAAGGTCGCAAATGGCAATCGCATGACCCTGGGATGCTGTAATTGTCATCAGTGCGAGCTGGTTGTCAAGCGCCTGGAACACAATCACATAACCACAGGGACACTGCGACAGTCGTAAGTCACTTTTAGCACCATCAGAACTTCGAATGGTCCCTAAATGAACAGTCGTTAAGCAAGAACTACCTATATAGTGCAGTTCATGTCCATGAGTTTTCAATATGCATGAAAGAAAAAAAATAAAACCAGGCTCTTCTCTTAGGCAAGATGGGCAGGCCACTGAAATTGTAATTTCTTTTTAGTGCTATACTATGACTTCTGGAGGATCACATTCAAGGACTTTAAGAACCAAATTTTATTCCAAGAGAGGGCAAAAAGTGATAATGTGGAGTCATTGGGGTTCTCTGAGCTTAGTTCTTTTCTTGCAAACGTTTCATTACCCAGCTAGGTAACATCTTCAGTGTTAAAATGGGATGAGGTTTGCTCTCTGTCCAAAGCTGCCCATCCCGAAGGTAATGTTCAATTCTCAAAATTAGGAATATTCTTAGCTTAATAATTGGCTTTTTTTTTTTTTTTTTACAACAACTCATATGCAGGGGAAGCTGACATTTAAAAAGTAAGAAGAGGTGATTTTGCAGATTAGTTAATATACTTACTGGCTCACTTTATGATACAATTTAGCAATGCCTTGATGTGTCCAGTCCTTGCCAAGAGTAGGCAAAATATGACCTAAAGTATCTGATCTGGAAAGACAGAAGATTTTTAAAACCAAAAAGAAATGTACAATAACAAACTGCATTTGTGGAATACAGAAAACAGGTTTATAATTTTGGTAGTTAACATTAACATACTTTATTAACACATTTCCATCTTGTTGGTCAACTACTTTAATGTTGTCTAGCTATGCAAGAATATCTTTAGAAATATCATCCACTTTTTCCTTCCCAAAAAATTATGTTCACTTTACTGTGGAGGTGTTGGGAATATTCTAATTTTGACCTTACTGATCTGGTAATAATATTATTAACATCATCTTGCCATGACTAAATTGTGTATTAGAATCAGCAATTACTGACTGGGTTCACACATCCCACTTATGTCATTCTGCATTTTGGTTTGTTTTGGGAGGTGTTTGGCTTCGCATATTGTGTAAACTTAGCCACTGTCATTTATAAACCAAGATGTGTCAGTCCAGCCAGTTGTGCTCAATTCAGTGAGCCAGTTAAACAAACCATGGCTTAGCATGACAGTAAAAAATCAGATCTCTGACTTCAATAATGAAAACGTGCATATGCATGATTAAAGAACACTTTAAAATGAACACTAAAAATAAACAAACCAAATGAGAGGATACAGAAGAGAAGAGCTCCAACCACTGACTCCCTGAGCTACAAAAGATGAAGAAACGGGTACCTGCACCTACCACAATGTCTCACCCATATTGTGGCCAGGATAAGTATCTCCTGCAACTGGTCACTGTCTGGCACATAAAAGAACAGGAAAGCATGCTCTTCTACCTCTTTCAGCCAGATTGGCACAAAGCCACTATTACTTCTTTGTATTACTCTTGTGACATGTAACAGAAGCAAATAGCTGAGTCTAGCTGGCATATCCACTTTGTCTGATGTGGCACAATGTTTGAAAATGGCCCAGTGCTTTTATATGCTGTATAGGAAAGTACAGACTGAACCATCAATGTGTTGTTTGAAGTAGTTTGATCCTTAAGTGAAAATACCACGTATACACGACTCCATCTCACTCAAAACAGAAAGGACCCCTCTGTCGCAAACCATGCAAAAGCCAACATTGTAATACTTGCTGTTCAATTGAAAGTGGAAGTAAAACTTGTTAGTTTGGCTTATCAGAGAGTGGAGCATAGTATTCCCTCAATGAAAATGTGCCATTCTGTGTCTGGCTAAAGACTCACCTTGTGATGGTGCCATCAATGTCAGAAATAATGACTTTGTCATCCCAGTTCCATAAATAAATGGTGCCTTCACAGCGACATGTTCCTTGATATTGTGTTGTGACACTAAAAGTGACATCATTGGGACCATTCTTAAGGTTGAGATTTTTCTGTTAAAAAAAGCACACAGCCTAGAGCTCAAATGCCATACACAGAGAAACTAGAGTACAGCCTAAAACACATGCTCACTCTCAGAAGTCAACCTCATTGAGTTTAAATGTGATACTTACTCCAAAGGATATATATATGGAATTGCAGCTCAAATGAAGCTACAATCATACTTACAGCTTCCAAGCTAACACCTTATGCTCACAGACTTAATGTTAGGAAGATATTTTACTGCACACCAATTAATGAGTTATTTTGCTTCAGCTTTGAGAGAATCTACAAGGCAGAAGTCCACTAGAGTACAAAGCCAAGATAGATGAAATCCCTTAGGAAAATCTCATTTATGCTATAGACAATTTTGGCATATGCAGACGGTAAACATGTAGAGCTTTTGCAAAATTAGGCTTCTTTTATAGATACTTAAACATCAACTATAACTGAAGCAAGATGCCTCCTAAATTGCCCACTTGTATTAAATGCTGAGTCCACAGAATGAAATGTAGTGTTATCAAAGAAGCCCCCTTAGCCAAATAAACATTAAGATTCAAACTGCACTCGCTTCTGAAAATTATGCTCAATGTCCACCATCAATCAAGAATCTCTTGTCAGTCAGAATTACAGTGCAAGTACTCAGCTTCTCTTTTCTCTTTTTACAAAATTATTAAGCCTGACCTAAATTCCAGATTTTGCTTCACAAAGCAGCAGAAGATTCCCCAGATGGTCCCTCAGAGAGGTTTGCTCAGGTGCCGATTCTTGGCATGGCAACTATACAAAATCTTCCAACTACTTGGTAAAAGCAGAAGGGTCCATGGCTCAGTGACAGAGCATATTCTTGGCAAGATCGAAGTGGCATCTTTGGAGCTGGCACCTCCAGTTCAGCCATTCAGATTATAAGTCCTCATCTTGGAACCCAGTAAGTTTTCTTTCAGGAAGGGGAACAGACTCTACACTAAAGATATGTCACTAAAACACCCCTCAAAGAAAAAAGAAGACAAATTCCTAGGACTCAGAAAAGTACCGTATTTATCAACGTATAACATGCACTTTTTTCCCTAAAATTTGAGGCTGAAATCCTAGCTGTGTCTTATATGCCAATACTCAAGCGGCAGGGCTGGAAGAGTGTAGCCTTCATTTGAGCCAGGGCTGTAACTGGGGCAGCTCCGCAGAGCGGGATGTGAGCTGTGGGCGAGGGAGCGAAAACCTGCACTCCCCAGCGCTCGCGCCTGAGCTCCACAGAGTAGAGGTGACCCGCTGGCGAGCAAGCGAAAATCTGTAGCATCACTTGCTATAAGAGAAGAAGAAGCCATTGATTGGTGGTTCAACAGCCCCAGGTATGCCCACACTAATGGAAAAGGAAGCCTGTTAATTGAACTGTAGTAGGACAAAACAATCAAACAACATCCACTAAGAATGAGGGAAAAGGGAGCAAATTGACAGGTTGAGAAAAATCAGTAAATTTTATGGGACCATAAATAAATACATTTTACTTACCATATTTATTGGGGTATAACACACACAGGTGTAAAACAGGCACCTTAATTTTAAGAGGGAAGTTAAGAGTAAAAAAACTTAAATTTAAAATAAATGACTTGGAAGCAAAATAAAGGGAGCTTTGAACTTTTTGTTTATTAATATTTATACCACTTATAAGGTAAATACGTAATATGAAAGAAAAAGCACCTTTTTGAACGAAGAACACCAGCGCTCCCCATCACTTGCGCTAGCTCCTGAGTTCTGCAGAGCAGGTGGTGAGTGGCAGTGAGCGAAAACCGGCGCTCCCCTGAGCTCCGCAGAGCAGGAGGTGAGTGGTGGGGGAGTGAGCGAATATCCGCGCTCACCTGAGCTCCGCAGAGCAGGAGGTGAGTGGTGGGGGAGTGAGCGAATATCCGCGCT